CGCATTAGGACTTCAGTCCTGTGTGTGTGTGTGCGCGCGCGCGCGCGCGTGCGCACTAGACTTCAGTCCTATGGCGAATGTTAGTTTTTGAATCAGGCTGCACTTAGCACATAGGGTCCAATTTTGGTCATTGTCAGTTTGGTAGCTGCACATAACTCAGGTGCTCAGGAAAAGGCGTTCACTTACTTTAAAGAAAATATTTTGACGAAAACTACTGGAACCTCCCATTTCAGTCACGAGTAGCTTGTACTGGGCTTCACCCTCAGGCAGCACCCCGCCCCCCGCCACACACACACCTCACATCCTGCCGAGCCACCAGGGCAGCTGCGGCCTGAGGCCGGCGTGAGAGCCAAGCTGTGTCTCTGGCGAACTTGCCAAGCGTGGGGGCAGCGACAGGCTGAGCCCAGGGGAGCGGCGTTCAGAGGCAATCAAGTGGCCACGTGTGCCACGCGACAGCAGCAAAGGACGAAGTCCCGCCAGGAGAAGCAGACGGACACTGGTGCGCCCAGGGACTTGCACGTGTCCATTACCAACGCGTCCGAGGAAATGGACGACAAAACCGATGGAGAGAGAGAATTTCAAGAGAATTGGAATCTCTGAAAAAGGGTCAAGTGAACATTCTGGACCTGGAGGTGCACTATCTGAAATTAAGAATTCGCTGGATATTTCAATGGTCCGGATACAGCGTGAGACAGGGTCACTGGACGGCGACAGAGCAGTAGGAACTATCCGTTTTTTTGGAAAGAGATTGGAAAGAAAGCTGAGCGCTGTGTGCGATGCACAGAACACGCTCACTGTGCGGCCGGAGTCCAGGGGGAGAGGAGAGAAAACGGGGCGGAAGCGGAGCGGGAGGAGAATTTGCCGGAACTGGGGAGAGGCACCGCCCGCCCGCGGTTTCCAGAAGCTCCGTTCGTGAACCCAGAGCAGAACGGACGCCTCAATCAAACAGTGGCAACGTAAATCAATATCTCGGCGCATGACGGTCCAACTACTGAAAACCGAAGACGAAAAAAATCTTCACCGCGGCCAGAGAAAGAGGACTTCCTGCCGAGGGTCAGCGGGGCCGGTGGCTGACTTTCCAGCGGGAACCACGGCAGCTCAGTGACGGCGGGTGACTGAGCGCGGCGGCCGAGAATTCTGCGTTCTTCACAGGTCGCGGCCGAGCGAGGACGTTATCGTAGGGAGTGAGAGCAGGGTGCTCACTGCCTGCCGGCCGACGGGGAGCGACGGCAGCAGCCGGGAAGCCAAGGACGGTCCCGAGACGGGGGACGGGGCTGAGACGGGGGACGGTCCCGAGACGGGGGACGGTCCCACCGGCAGACACCGAGCAGCGGAGCGGCCCCGAGGTTCGGGCAACGTTCGCAGTTTCTCGCAGCGGTTTCCGGAGTGACGCGAGGGGCACGGGTCTTGCATTCCCTCTGAGATGAGAAGGACACGAAGGACAGATAGGGCGCAGGTGGCGAGATGCTGCACTTTAGCCAAGTCGGCAATTCCCTTGTCGTCCATGGACAGAACACTCAATACAAGGAAGGTGACCAGCCCGCTTTTCAGAAAGTTTGCTGTTTGTAGATGACACACGTTATGGGTCAGAACACAGAAGTGTTCAAAGCAGAAGAGGAAAAGGATCAGCCAAGGAAACGCGGACCTAAGAAAAGGGAGATCGACAGCGAAGTAAACGGTAGGAAGTGTTATAAGAGGGACGTTTTTTTTTAATAGAATAACCCTAAGTGTTTACGCTCAGTTTGAAACGCATGAACGCCGACGGCAGGAGAGACGAGTCCCGGGGTAGAGCTGGGGTCTCAACGCCTTTCTTCAGTCATCGATAGGGGAGCAGACAAAGGGCCAGTGAGGACGGAGAAGTGAATCGAGTTCCTGGAATGAGCCGTCCGCTTGCAAGGGCTGCGGGTTCCTCCAGGGCACAGGGGACACTTCCAGAGCGGACGAATCGGGTGGAGACACACCTCGGCAAACACCAAGGACTGAAGTCCCAGTGTGTTCCCGGACCTCTGTGAAAGGCACTGGACTGTCCCCCAGTGCGTGGCAGTCGGCAGCGTTAACCCCCGCGTCAAAGGACAAGTCGCACCGGAGAGCGTGACGCAGTTTGGGGGGTGAAAACGCACCTCGGGGCATCTCGCCGGCCACGTCCGAAGGGGGAGCTAGGGGGAGCTCACAGCTCTACGCCACTCTGCGGCAGACGGAAGGGGCTCGTGCGGAGGTCCAGGAGGGAGGAGGGATTGCGGATGAAACTCCGAAGGAGCAGGAGCGGCGAAGTGAGCAGGTGCGAGCGATGGAGAGCGGACAGGGCGCGGGCTCGGGAGCTGGCGCGGCCACGTGCGCGCATTCGGGTCGGTTTTCCAGGGAAAAAATGCGCTTCTGCTCAGAGACGCGGTCTGAGCAGTTAGAGGGGGCTAGACTGTGTGTCAGGCTTTCATCTTCATGTTGACAGAGGCAGAATAGGGACTATGAGTAAACACATCCTCCAGAGTCATTCGAAGAGAAATAACCCAAGAGCTCGCGTCGGTCCTCGGCCTCCGTCGGCTCAGAGCGGGCGGCCCGCTCGCTCCGTTCGGTGATAACGGGAGAACTGCCTGGCAGAGGTGGCCGGAGGACAGTCACGCTGACCCCTGGGGAGGTTGGGGCCAGGCCTGGTGGTTGGGGGCAGAGGACGGTGACGTTCGCCTCCTCAGGCGGGTGCTGTCAAGTGTGACGGACGGTCACCCCTGCAGCTCCGCTCCAGCCCTGCCAGGCTGCGTGCCCTCCTGCCTCTCCCGGACCCAGCTGTCAGGAGGTCCCTGCCTGGGGTGCTGGGCCCTCCCCACCCATGGGGGCGGCTGGCTCCTTCCGGCCAAGAAGCTGCTGGACTGCACGGGTGGGTTTGTGGAGTGTGGTGACGCGGTGGTGTCGCCGAGGGATCCTGGCACAGGGGCAGACGGCGGGGACGGCACTTGTCAGTTTGTCTCTGGAAGGTCAGATCCATGGCAGGAGCCTCTCTGCAGCTTCATTCACTGCGGTGACAGAGTGGGGACTTTTTTAACAAATTACGGAACATTCAAACATTTACACACCACACAAGTTTACCAAAGGCTGTTGCCGTGTGTCAAGTGCAGGATGTTCTATACAGCTGGGTACATCGTCATTCCAGTTTTGCAATTGAAAAAAAATTACATTTATGCATAGAAAAAAGACTCGTAAGATGTTGTTAACCGCAGCTACTTTGTGTGACAAAATACAGGTGATTTTTCATGTATCCTGCGTGCTTTCGTGTCCCACATGCTAGACACACACGGTAAAAGCTCCCGAACGTAAGAAAATGCCTTCCTTCTCAGGGCGGGACTTAGGAACCTGGCAGGGAGTATCTGGGCTGCATGATTATTTGGACGCCCGGTAACAGCGCCCGGCGGGAAAGACAGGGCTTGTTTACCAAGCGAAGGAGGACGTTGCGGCCGGGCTCCCGTGGTTCGGGGCCGGGCCGCGCAGTGGCCCACACACGGGGCTGTGCCCTCGCTGTCACCGCTCTGCTCCAGTTGGTGCCATCTCCACAGCAGTGTGGCCATGGCTGGGGTCCCGGCAGCAGCATGGAGTGGAGTCCGGGGGGCACGCTCCGCGGAGAGGGTGGTGAGGGCTCCCCTGTCTATGGGACGTGGGTGGCCTGGGGCGGGCGTACAGACCTCAAGTAAACCCCCTGCTCATTTCCCGCGGCTGGCCCGCTGCCCCCTGGGAGCGCCCAGGGCTTTGGGTCACCTCAGCCCCCTGCCCCTCCCAGCCGTGGGCCGTGACTCTGGTGTTTGTCCTCACCCCTGCCTCCCTATTGGGACCTGCCCCTGGGCGTCCAGTCGTGGCCTGAGGGCCTGGCGAGGGGCCACCGTAGCCTGACCTGTGGTCCGGCTCCCGCCGGCCTTCGCTGCAGCAGCCGCCTTGGGCCAGGTCCCGAGTGCTTGACCCGTGGTCTGTCCTCTCCATACTGGTGCCAGCCAGATGCTCTCTGTGCTGCAGGTTGGGGGAGGCGCGAGGGTCTGGGAGCCAGACCCCGGAGAGCGTGTCCACCACGGGCTCATGTACAGGCGGCATGGCAGCCGGACGCGAGCTGCTCTCCGCCACCCGAGTGAAATCCAGGAGGCCCTGGGGCTTGGGGCGGACACCCCGCGGGCTTGAGAGGGGCAGTGCGGTGTGTGAGCTGCTGCTCAGCTGAGCTTCCCAGGCTCACTGGGGCTCACACCTGGAGCTCCTGGCCCCCCAGCCGCCACCAAGAGACCACCTGAAGTATGGAACGAGAAGCTTCTGAGGGCATGGCCACGTCCTGCTGTGGAATGCGGCCCCAGGCACAAGGCCGAGCTGGCCACAGGGTGGCCCTTGGGGCTCGTGGTGTGGCTTCTTGAAAGGGCAGAGGTAGAGCAGGGACGAGCCCCACGGGCAGAGGCCGCTCGGTGTTGCCGCGGCTGGGCCGTGTGCACCACACAGCAGCCCCCGCCTGCCCCGGGCGCTCACGGTGCAGCCGTGGCCTGTGGCGCCGTGGACCCGGCAGCTGGCCCCGGCTCCCGGGAGCTGTGGGTCGTAGCCCCTCTGTTGTCCCCTGTGCCGTCACCCGTTTCTGTTACGGTCCGAGTGTAGGCATCGCTGTTTTTGACGGACATGTAAGAAGACGGCTGTGTCTGAGAAGTGGACACGGTTGCCTCCGGCCTTCAGTCCAGGCAGCCCGCCCCTCTGACACCTCAGGGGAGAAGCCCTGTGCCCCCAGAGTGGCGCAGGGGACAGACACTGCGGGCGGGGGTGGGGGACTGGGCTCGGACGGTTGGCCGGATACTGGGGGAGGGGCAGGCTGAGAGGCTCAGGTAGCACCGGACAGGGGGTGTGGGGGAGGTCTAGGCCAAGGGCCGGACACTGCAGGGGCGCCCCCGGGCGGCGGGATGGACACTGCAGGGGGGGGCAGGCAGCGGCCCAGGCGGCGGCGGACACCGCGGGCCCGGGCGGCGGGCGCGCTGACCCCTGGCCCTGTCTTGCAGTGAACGAGTTCACCGTGATCAGGAAGAAGTTCCGCTGCCCGTACTGCAGCTTCTCCGCCATGCACCAGTGCATCCTCAAGCGGCACATGCGCTCACACACGGGCGAGCGGCCCTACCCCTGCGAGATCTGCGGAAAGAAGTTCACGCGGCGCGAGCACATGAAGCGGCACACGCTGGTGAGCGCGGCGTGGCGCGGGGCGCTGCTGCCTGGGCTGGGGCGCCACAGGAAGCTTCGCGCGGGCGCCCTGTGCGGGAAGGACGACAGCGTGGGGTCCACGCCCGCTTGACCCCCAGCTGGTTTTGCCCCTTGGTCTGGGTGCAGAGGCCGGGGTCACACCACACCCTCGTTTTGGGGCCCCTCTGTGCCGGCCCGACCTCTGTCCACTGCCCTCGGCCCCTGCCCCCCACGCCTGTGTCTCTCAGGGGTCCCCGGCTCAGAGCTGTCAGGCAGCAGGTGCTGAAAGGCGGGTCTGCCTGCCCAGGAAATACTGGGGTCGTCCTTGAGATGAAGGCAGACTCCCCAAAACAGCGAGGGACCCTGTGCGAGCGAGATAAACCAGGCGGGCCGGGTGGTTTGGGGCTGTGTGCGGTGCCCGAGCCTCCCTTGGACTCGCACTGGGGGGCAGGGCTGCAGGGGGGGGCGGCGCTGATGTGAGTGTGGGTTCCCAGGGCATCCAGGGTCACCTTGGGGTGCACGGGCCTGGCCGGATTCCTGTAGCACGCCGACCTGCTGACCGCCAGCAGCAGACCCGCCGGCCGGGCCAGACTGGAGGGCCCAGGTCGCACTGGTGGGGGTGGCCAGGGTTGGCCGTCTCGGGCAGGGGGCCAAGCGAGGCCCTCGGACCTGGCCCAGCAGGGCGACCCTTGAGTGAACGGGGTTCCTGCTGCGTGTGTCCGTCGCTGTGGTGAGCAGGGCCCACCGTCTGGGCCGCCACCCGCACTGGCTGCCCCCAAGTCTGCTCTTGTTAGCAGCTCCTGTTAGCCCCTCACACCGGTGGCCATAGCAGGCCGTTTGCTTTCCCAGGCCGTTCGAGGCTCCGTTTCTAGCACCAGCTCGGGGGCCTGTGCAGCTTTCCCCACAGACGCCCTGCCCCGGGCCGCGCCCCCGACCGCATGCCCGCTGAAGGCGGTGGGCCGCACCCCGGGCGTGGCGTGTCTCCCTGGGGTGTCGGGGAGGGGATCAAGGCGTGCCAGGGACGGTGACCTGTCCGCCCAGCAGTATTCGCGAACAGAGAGGCGCAGCTCAGGAACCCTCGTTCCCGCGACACTGCTGGTGACCGCCCTGTCCCCCGCAGGTCCACAGCAAGGACAAGAAGTACGTGTGCAAGCTGTGCAGCCGCGTCTTCATGTCGGCCGCCAGCGTGGGCATCAAGCACGGCTCTCGGCGGCATGGCGTGTGTGCCGACTGCGCGGGCCACGGGGTGGCCGGGCCGCTGGACGGCGGGGGCGCCGAGGGCTCCCCCGAGCTCTTCTCTGGTGACGGGCCCTACCTGGAGGACCCCGAGGACCCGCGAGGGGAGGGCGAGGAGGAGCTGGGTGAGGATGAGGATGACGTGGGCCTGGCCCACGAGGACACGCTGCTGGGGGCTGACAAAGACGACGAGGACTCACCACGGGCGCCCCGCAGCCCCTCAGGGGGGCCCGACAAGGACTTCTCCTGGATCCCCTAGGCCCCCAGCTCTGTGTGTGTGCTTAGGGGCCTTCGCCGAGCGGGGCTGTGCCGACCCCTCGCAGCCCCTCCTCCGGTCCCCCCTTCGTCCTGCTCCCGCCCCTGGACACACGGAGAAGCTGGCCCTGCAGTCTCAGAAGCAGAGGCCCCCCCCGCCCACAGCGGGGGCTCTGACATAGCACAGGGTTGGGAGGTGCGGGGCGGGTGGAGTGGAGAGAGAGCGTGTTCCTACCCGTCTGAGGGCCAGAGACGGGGTCCCTGGCCAGTGTGTGTGGGAAGAGTGTCAGGGGCCACATGGCCAGGCCAGGCCCAGTGCTGCTTGGGTCACACGTGTGGCCCTCGGGCACAGGTCCCGGAGATGCTGAGGGTCCTGCATACACCCACCCCGTCCCATGCCCCAGCCTGTGCTGGGTGCCCCTGCAGCAGCCGCTGTCCCACAGTCTTCGTGGCCCTGTCCCTGCCACCTGTGGGGCCGTCTGCAGGATCACCCAGGGTCCAGAGGCCCCACAACCCTGCCGCCGGTCGGCTCCGGTGCTCAGCAAACAGCCACAGAAGCCCCGTGGGGCCAGCGCCCAGGTGCTACCGTCCATGCGGGCGGTGGGCGGGCCCGGGGTCCGTGCCGCTCCCGCGCGGGCTCCCCTTGGGGCTCCACTTTTACGTCTGTGTGCACTTCCTTGGAGAGCCTGGGGCGGCCCGGTCCCCTCGGCTCTGCCCACCCCGTTGCACCCAGGCCACCCCTGCTGCTAACACCGGCGTCCCTGACTGCCGCGTGCCGCTCACGCCCCCCGGTGTGGGTAACCCCGCTTCCCACGTCGTCAGACACACACGAGGTCACACGAGGGCGTCGTGCTGGCTGTCACTGTCCTCACGTGGCCGACACAGCTGTCCTTCCCCTGCTTGGGGTCACGTCCTCTTCCTCAGGGCCTGCCCTCCCTCTCCTTGGCGTGGGAGGCAGAGGTTCCGTCCTGTCCACGGCCCCCAGCGGCGGGCCCCCGTCCGTCTCCTTGCCGAGGCTGTGTCCGATGCCACTTCGTGACTGAGACGTTGCGCCCCGTCCGCCACCTCGCCCCACACGCCCGCCGTCCCCGTCACGCACCCGGGCAGTGGCTCTGTCCTTTTCCCGAACTCTCAGCCAAGTGCTTTTCCCGCCGTGTGCACGGCCGCACCCCTTCCTTCTGGGCGGGAAGCCCCGGAGAACCCTGGGTGGGCTCCAGCGGTGACCTGCTGGTGCTGGGGGCGGCGGGGCCCCGGCCTCGGTGCCGTGCCTGCAGCCCTGCCCCCCGGGGGCGTCACAGCTTCTGTTCGTGTTCTGTGTTTTCAGCCCCCGTTCCTTTTCTGTGAGTTAGAAGAGGGTGCTCTCGAGGCGCTGTCACCTGGCTTGCCTGCACCCACCTCCCTCTGCAGGGGTGGGGGGACGCTGTGACTTCCTCCACACCACCGTGCCCCTAGAGGAAGGGCCGCGGTTCCCCCGAAGGCCGGGGACAGGAGCCGAGCCAGCACGGGGCCCTCCGGGCTGTCCGTGCGCGGCCACGCTGGGTTCCACACCCGCGTCCTCTGCCGCCTTCACCCGGAGGCCTGGCTGGGGCCTGGCTGGGTCCCGCCCGGGCCCTCAGAGCTCTGTGCCTCCCCCAACCCCTCACCCCTTTTCTAAACACACCCACTTTCTTACGAAATGGAAAGCAGACCTTTGCCGCCAGCGAGTGTCCCAGGGTTGCGCACTGGCCCCCACCTCCCAGGCCAGGCTGCCCACGCCCCGGCGCCTCCGCCCCGCACTCAGGACACCCCGCGCCCCGCTCCGGACCGCCCTAGCTCACCTTTTGGGGGTTCACTGTCAGTGCCACAGGGGCGTTTTCTTCCCTAAAGTCGATACTGCACTGGAAACCCGAGGCCCTCGCAGTTCCGCGAGCATCTGCTGTGAGGCGTCGCCCTGGTGTGCTGCGGGGTCCCAGGGACGGACGTCACCTCTCAGGTGGCGTGGAGGGGACGTGTGTGTCGCGGAGGGTTTTTTTATGTGACCGATCTTTTTTTTTCCAAATCAATGTTTAAACTAATAAATATTTTTTTACGAAGAGGAAAAAGATGTGTAGATTACATTTCACAGTTTGTACTTTTTCATTTGTGTATTTTGGTGTTTGCAGCACCGAAGTGGAAACGCGGCCCGTTGCGGGGGTGGGGTGGGGTGGGGTGGGGTCCTTTGGGGCCGGGCACTGCCGCCCTTGCTGTCAGGCGCCGAGCGCAGGACACCGACCAGGTGTGTATTTGGGCTCCGGGTTTTGGGGGTCACAACACTGCCAGGACTCAATAGGGACCTTGACGCAAGAGGCACAGCTACTGCTTCCAACTTTGCACTTCTTTATATAAAACCGAGAAAATGCAAAAACTGGAACATTTTGCAATATGACTTATTTTCGCTCATTATGTGACATGTGCAACTCTTTTAAAAAGCCATACTTAATGGTTTTTATTTTTTAGATCCTATGTTGTGTTTTGTATGCAGCCCTTGAGAACTACTTATAGTGAGGGTGCTGTGTGTGCTTTACTTAAATATTTATTTTTTCAACATGTTTTCAACCTGTCAAAACAGACGAAAAGTCCGTGCTTGGAGATGGTTGGTTTTTTCCTGGGGATGATCGATATTATATTGACTCTATATGAATTACCGTAAACCTGTGTTTGTACTGGAGATGTGTTCACTCTCTGGAGGAGGACGTTTCGTGCTTGGTCAGTGAGAAGTCAGCTCTGTTGTCCCTTCTCTGTAGCCACAGGACAGGTAAACAGCCCCTTCTCTGTGGTCGTGCGAATTCTTGTCTGCCTGGGCTCCGGGCCTGCCTGCGGGCTTCCTCTGTGACGGAGTAGCTTAGACGTTCTTGCAAAGCGATCACTTTCAATAAATCGGGAAACTGCTGCTCACGCAGACGCTTTGTGTGTGTTTCAATCAGCGTCCCCTCGTCTAGCCTCACGCCAGGTGGACATGGCCTGAGAGGGGACTCCCTGTCCTCCGCGCCTGCTGCTGGCCTCCCAGGCCCGCCCACCACTCCTGCCTGTGGCAGGGTCCCAGTGCCACATCCTTCCCCCTCAGGAGCAGACACAGCTTCTGGAAAAAACCCAAATCTTTAATTTTTTTCCTCGCCTGGCGCAGCCCGGACTGAGACACCTGAGCTTCGCGAACACAGTACAAACGTCGGCACTGGGCCCTTGAACCCTCAGGCTAAGTGCGGGCAGGGGAGGCCCCTTCCCGACACCCCTCAAAGTGCATCTGGGGCTGGCTCCCAAGGGGCCTCGAACCTGGCCCATCAGCACCCCTGAACCCTGGCGTGGCTTTAGTGCAAAAGGCTGGTTTCTTCAGAGGCACTTTGGCGGGGCTCGGGGACGCGGCGCCCCTCGGCGTCAGAGGCGGGCGGCGGGCGGCTCAGTCCAGGAAGCGCCGGCACGCCTTCTTCCAGCGGCAGGCCGTGCACCACAGGGCCCGGCGCTCCACGCCGTACACTTTCCGGCACTTCTTGGCGTCACCGCGGGGCTTCCTGGGGGAGCGCATGGAGCATGGGGTGCTGTTCGGCCGGCGCCTGCCCCGCCTGGCACCTCCCGGCTCCTCAGGACACGCACCTTAGGTTGGCACCGAGCTTGGAGGGCAGTGCTGGCACGCAGGCCCTGCCTGTGCCGGGCTGTGGCTCCAGCCGGGGGGGCGCCAGGCAGCCCTGAGAGGGGACACAGCAGGGGTCTTGCTCCCCTCCAGTGTGCCCCGAGACCCGGCCCCCGCTGCGGCCTGCGACCTCACCCACCTGGTAGGAGTGGTCACTGTGGCATGCCTGGGGGGGTCGCGCAGAGCTCAGCACTGGGGGCGGGGGCGAGGCCAGTGGGTGCAGCAGGCCGGGCAGCTCCAGGTGGGGGAAGGCGGGCGGTGTGGAGGCCACGGGGGACACTGGGGTCAGGCTGGACAGCCCATCTGTCAGCGTGTCCAGACCAATGTCCAGCTCCGTGTAGTAGAAGTCCTCCTCTCCGTCACTCTGCTCTGGCTCTGCCTGCCGCCTGCTAGGGACACAGCAGGTGGGAGCTGACGTGCTGGCCCCCAGGCCGGCCCCCCGCCCCCGCCCGGCAAGCCCGCCGCACCCCAGGTGCACCAGGCGGATGTGTCTCTGCATCCCGGAGGCCGTGCTCAGCACCTTCCCGCAGCGCTTCCACAGACACTGGAACAGGACCTGCACCGAGCTCTGCGCAACGAGGGCCGGTGGTCAGGCTCGGCCGCCCGTGTCCGCCCCGCCCTGCGTGCTGCTCCCGGGCTCACCTTCCTCTTCCTAGGGGCGGGCTCCCCGAACAGGAAGTGGGCTGCCTCGGGGGGCAGTGGTGGCGACGGGGTACATGGGGAGGACTGTTCACTGGCCGGGTCCCAGCCCCAGTCCCCACTGCTGCCGCTGCTGTAACTGCCTGGTGGCTGCACCAAGGGCTCCTGCCAGGACGCCAAGCCAGGCTCTGCGGGGACAGGCCAGGCCAGTGTCAGGACTTCAGCAGGCTCAGGCTGCAGCAGCAAGTCCCTTAGCTCTGAGCGTCCACCTGTTCACTTGTTCACAGGTGAGTTTGGTGGGCCATAGCCACTCAGATGAGGCGGTGGCCGGGGGAGCTAGCCATGGCAGCTTGGGGACCAACCTCGCTGGCACAGGGAAGGACGAATGGGAAAGTCCTGTGTGGGAAGGTGCCTGGCCATCCAGGCAAAGAAGGACACTGAGGCTTCTGGCCTCGATGAGGGCTGTGGGTGTCCTGACAGCCATGTGTTTAGATGGTGTCTAGGTGAGGGGGCTCTGCTTGCCCCGCCCCTTCCACAGGATCTTGTTGGAAGTGGCCCTGGGCTCTGCCCCAGCCCTACCCCGTGCCGGGCCTATAAGTCTCACCTGGGCTGAAGGCTGCCGCTGGGGCCCCCAGCAGGAGAGGGCTGGTGGACAGGCTTGTGAGGGCTGCAGCAGCCATAACCTCATCCGGCCGGGCTTTTCCTTGGGGGGCTCTGGAGGAGACGAGGGCGGGTGGGGCCCAGCAAGTACTCCAAATCCCTCCCCGGGCCAGGCACACACGTGCAGGCCTGGGCACGTGTCCGCACACCAGGCTCCCCAAGCTCCCGCACTCCAGGCGCTGGGCAGGAGGCCCAGCTCCGCCCCCGGCTCGGGTTGCAGAGCCCTGGGTCTCAGGAACCTCCAGGACAGGGCCTGGGCTGGGGTCTCCAGGAAGCCTGAGTTAGCTGCCACCTCGGCTTCCTTCCAGGTGTCCCTTTCAGACCCTGATGCTGGACAGGGCTTGGAGGCCCTACCGCTGGGGCCAGGGCCGGGGAAGGCCCAACCCTCCCCCAATCGCCCATGAGCCAGGGCTGTGCGAGAGCAGCTGTGGGCCTAGGGCCAGGCCTTGGGGGCGGGGCAGCTAGCAGCCTGCAGCAGCCAGGGGAGACTGCTCCAATCACGAGCGGGTCCTCAGGCCCCAGCGGGGACCGCGCTGCCAGCCCAGGGTGCCCGGCACCCGAGAGGGTTTTGTGGCCCGGCTGGGGAGGCAGCGGTCAGAAGCCTTGGGACGACCAGGTGGCAGACCCCAGGCCTGCGCGCGGCCTCACGACGCAGAGAGTGACAGCGGCCCCTCCCAGCACTGAGCTCGGGCCACCAGGATTTGAGGGGAACAAGACACACGAACACACTACCACTTCTGGTCAACTCTTCCAAAGCTGGAGGGCTGGGGGATGGCCAGAAACCCGGTTCGCGACCCTGACCTGCACCTCGTCGAGGACCCCCTCGGGGGTGTCGAGAAGGCACACGTGCAAACGTCCCACCCACCACCCCTGCATACGGGGTGCACGTGTGCGCACGCCCACCTCGGCCTGGCGTGCCGGCTCACCTGTGCGCAGGCACCGGGATGTGGGCCGATGGCGCCCGCGGCTCGGGCTTCTGCGGGGGCGCGAAGTCCAAGCCCGCAAAGCCGCCGCCCACGGCAGGGCCCTGCAGACGGAGTGTGCTCAG